TAAGGTTGTACTAAGCCATTTGATGAGAGATGTGAGCATTCAACAAGTGCAGTCAGCACCTACGCTGAAGATGCTGCGCCAGCGTCGTCGCACAACCAGCGACGGGCGGCTCCGGATAGGCGACTACGAAGCAACTGTTTGGTTTACTCAAGTCTCACGAAACCATACTCCCCGGGGGACAACCATACTAAGAGATGATCAAACATCAGATCTGACAATAGCGAGATTTGCTCTTCTGAACTGGTACCACGGGGGCGGCCATCATGGTGGTTTGCTTGATTCGAGGGCCGGAAAATCGCCGCACTTGTTCATGTTTTCCTCAAACCCGCCGTACCGTCGGAAATCAACCGACATTCGTTGCGAGGTTTGGTTCCGTTGAAGTTTGCGCAATCGTCGTCGTGATTTGCGGCCACCTTGCCGCGGTATGTCCCGGTCACACGGCGCTGGGATCCCAACTGCTTCAACTCAGTTGCGGAGCTGAAAGCTCTGACATACAATCTAGTGCCGTCATGGTCGTAAATTAAGAAGGCTGGCTATCAGTAGTGCTCTTAGCTGCCGACGACATTAGGCCAGCATTTTGGAAATTCCAGCCAATGAGCATGCGGCCTCACCGCCAATTCGTGTGGAGACTTTCGATGCAGATACGCCGCCAGATCCCGCAGATGACGAGACGATAGCTCGGATCTATCAATGGATGCTAGTTTCTTGGATGTAAAGATGGTGGGTAGGGTTCCCAATGGAGGTATCGGGTCCATGTCGCCTTCGAGGCTGGGAGTTGCAGAGAGGTCCACTCGGGCATATTGCTAAGCCTGCAGGATACATGTTGACATGCCAGGGACGCCCGTCTACATCAGTGTCTCGTCAGCATGCATCGTGCTAGTCCTCACCGTGGGGTAGAGGGCCCGAGTGACAACGCAAGCGCATGCTGTCCGTGGCGGAGTTGGAAGCGCCATGGTTAGGGCTGTCGAAGCGTCTCTTGCGGCAGACGGACAAGTAGCATGATGGCATACTGCACCCCACCCAGCCGTGGAACGATGCGCTGGCAAACGGTGTGGTTCATCTGAGACTGCAGGCGAGGCACAGGCGTGCATGGGCGCGTTGGCGAGGCTCTCAAGCGGGCGTGTTGGAGAGGCGTTGACGTCGAGCAGGAGAATAAGTGAAGGCAGCTCTAGCTTGGGTGCCAGCTGGCAGCGCCCCGTCTGAACTATTAACGGCAAAAAGGACATGCAGCGACGTGAGCAGTTTAGCGGAGGAGTTCGACGCTTGACACGTAGCCCACCATAGCTCGCCTGTCTGCAGATTGACGCAGGAGCTGCACCTGCGTCTCCAGCAGGCCGGATAGAGTGCGCGGGTTACTACTAGCATGCGTTTCCTCAGCGTTCGCCCTGCCATTTCCTTTTTGCGCCGTTGGTGAAGTTGTCATTTTCGCATCGCGACGGCCGCCCGCTCCTCAACACCAGGCCGAGCGCAAGGGTCTGCGCATCACCAGAAGACGCCCCGCCGCCTGCCCTGAGCGCGATTGAACGGCTATCCGAGTATCTCGAGGCATTGCAAGTGTGCGCGGCCCAGTTTCGCTTCCTCGGCGTCCCAAACAGCTGCACTGACCGCTGCCACACCGCCTGCCGACGTCACGGCCCTTAAGACGGTCGCATTGCCTCGTGCGCGCTGGACGAGCAAAGCTGGCTTGGTCGCCATGAATGCGCTGTCCACGGCCTCGCACCCTCAACCTCCACCGCGCAATTGACGTCTGACGTCTGCTAGCCTGTCGCAAAAGGGTCTCGCAGCGCCTCACCTCTTGCGCCCGCCCATTGGCTCCGCCATCACCCCCGCCGTCGAATAAGAGCACGGCACCAGCCCTAACCATCGACACCGTCTCGCCCTATCCGTTTCCAGATATCCCGATCGAGGTGAGCCGTTGCTGCTTCCCATGATCTGGATGCAAGACTGACAGTTGGCCAGACAGTTCATCACTCGTGGCGCTCCCACGACCTTCTTCCACCGCTTCATCTTTCTGCGCCCAGCATTCTCCACCAACGTATATCTATACGCTGTGTCATGATATTCGCCTCCATCGCAATCGCCTAATACAACAAATCTCCGGGTAGCGCTTTCCCACTTGGGCCATCACGAGAATCGACCTTCACCCGCGCAAGGGTCGCGCACGGACATCCCGTCGTCTACCGAAACACATCAATTGGCCAGCACGCGCTGCATCGGTGCCAGAGCCTCATCTCCAGCGCGGCATCATCGCGCGGTGTCATCGGTCAGCCTGGGCCGGGCTGCACTGTGTCTATCTCCAGAGGATACAGCGCAACGGTCCGGGTTGGCGGTTAAGGTTAGTGCTCCATGAGTCGCGCATTACCATTCACTTCACGATCAACCTGTACTTGGCGCAAGCACTCATCTGAGTCCTTTCCATTGCCAAACCCATCACCCTCCCGCCTTTCCCCCGGTTGCATCTCAGTTTTGACTTACGAACCATCCAGACAACATCGCTGAACCATGGCATCTCTGGACTTTGACCAGAAGTTCCTTGGTCGGATAGCCAAGCAGACTGAAGAAACAAGTCCATTCCTGTCCAGCGCTCTCTATCAGATCCTGGGTCTGTCAGTTCTCCTGGCCCGGAGACTCATCCGCGCCCGGAAGCTTCGCAAGCTGGACACCAGTCGAGACACTCCCTCACTCTCGGCCTATCAACATATCCTCTGGATGTCTCGAGAGGGATTATCCATACTCGAGCTATACGTGCTGCCCTATGCGCAGGACAACCAGCATGGGCCAGAGTGCAGAGTGTTGAGCGTCAAGTTGCGCGCGAGCTTCTACCACATCTTCTGCCTCTTCCACAACCAACCGCCCGTCACGACAATGAACATGACAAGCACTGATCCTCGCAACCCTGCTCTTCCCCCTTTACCAATATCACCACCAAAGCATAGTAATGGACATGGCCGCAAGACCGACCCCCCGGGCTTGTCACCCCCTTCGAAGCGCGCAGGCAAACAACCAGCATTACGCGAACCCATCGACTCCATCGTGTCCGAGACATCTTTCGTCACGAACCCTTATGCAGCAGGAGGGCCAGTCGGCACACCATCACCGGGACCGACGATCAACGCGCCTCCGGGCCTCAACCCGGTTCCCATTCCACAGCCTTCCTCCTTCATACTCCCACCCCTAAACTTTGTTCCGTTAGCTAGTGGGTACTTTACCACCGCCACTCAGTACGCCACCTCGTTTCTTCCTGGCTCACATCCACTGCGTTTGTCGGTCGCGCTCGAGCACAGCGCGTTTTTGTGGGATTGTGTCCACGACCATGACGCCTCGCGTCGCGTCGCTCGACGTGCAATTAAGGATGTCTACCGCGCGCAAGAAGCAATGGATGACACTGAGTTCGAAGACGCTGCTGAGCTTGTGGGTATCCTGGGTCGCATGATGAAGCGCAAGAGCTGGGAAGGTACGCCACGCGTCGGAGGCATGGCGAGCCCCGAGCCTGTCGCACAAAATACTCCACAAGCAGCTGGTGGCAGATCGGAGCCATCAACTAAACCTCTCACTCCTCCCAAGATTCCCAATCGGCAAAGCAGCAGAAGAGCAGCAGAGGCTCCACCACTTACGGACCCGTCCACACAGGCGCACTCAACACCTCCTACACGCAGTCGAGCAAACACAGCCAGCAAGTCTGTTCCTCGGCAAAAAGAAAGCAACGGCCACGAGACCACGCCCAAGTCGACGCCACGACGGCGTGCGGACAGTGACAGTCGCGACACCACACCCCGAAACCGGCATGTCAGTGTCGAAAGCGGTGCCAGCACAACGCCGCGGGCACCGCAGGGAGCAGGTGGTCACTCTCCCGCCACCCCATCGACGGTCCGAACCGCGCACCGAACCTCAGGAAGCGGCGGCTCCTCAAAAGGAACACCCGTCGCGGGAACCTCAACGCCCCTAACCCAAAGTGCAGCCGCAACCCTCGTCTCCGACAACATGCGCAACTCGCCTTCTCTGCGCCGCTCACCCCCAATCCCACAACCACACTCCCCCTCCTTCCCCTACGACACGCGCCTCTCGCCCTCGCAAGAAAGCTCATACGCCAGACAACAGAGGTGACTAGTAGAGACGGGTCGGGAGAAGCAAAGAAAGATGGAAGTGCAATGGACCGACTCCATGCATGAAGCCGACCTTGTGCTCCTGCCCATGACACAGCCGAGCTCGGTTTCGTCGACCCCGATCGACTTCGCCGGACAGACGTACCCCGAGTACCCTGTTCGGTTTCGAACTTAGAAGTCGCCGTCTTATCGGGACGGTACGACTGCCGATCGAATTGATAAGAGCGCAGCATCTTCCATCCATCCCTTCCCGTCGCAGAAGCTACATGCGTCACGTCACGTCGGCTCGTGGAGCCTAGATCTCTTGATACCCCCCTCCCCATCATACCATCTCATCACCTCTTCCGCATCGCTCTTGTACTGTATCATACCTATTGGCGTTTTTCTCGGCGTATATACCTCTTCAACGACATACACATCCGTCCTGTCTGTTGGACTGTAGCATATCGGATACCAAAAGTCGCCCTTTGCATCTTCCGGCGAGGCGGCAAATAGTGCATAATGTCTTAGTTTCCCAACCTTTTTCTCTTTCGCGGCGTTTCATTGGGTTGCCAGTTGCTTCGGCGAGCTGATGATACCATGGCTGGGCATATGTGTTTGGAGGTTCTGTCACGCTGATACGTAGTCAAGACTTCTTGTTGATGTGCGCTAGACATTCATAATTTACGTCATTTTCTGCTTTAAACACGATAAATTTGTGAGACACAGTGGTTGAGGGTGGAGAGATGATGTATACATCGGTTTGTTTTCTCAGTGGCAGACCACGGTAGCAAGTTCTTGTCTACATACAAGATCTCAACCTTAACATCCGGCTCTTGGTACGCTACACTCCTGCTCACCCGCTCTTAGTACGCCAAACTCCTGCGAAAAGCTCGACGACCAGACCACGAAGCTCAATCAAGCCATCCGCTCCATACGACCAACGAGCAGCTTCCTTATAGCCTTCTTCTCCTCCTTACTCAACGTCGCCAACATCTCGACCGTAATAGCCTCCTCCTCCCCATTAGGCTTAACCTCCGCACACACACGCTCCATAAGCGCCATCTTATACCCCAGCAACTTCTCCTCGCCGTCCACACCAGGAGTACCACGACTCGCAAGTGACATATCTTCGGTGCTGTCAGTCTTCAGCGCCTGCATCTTCTTCTCTCTAAGAAAAAGGTTCCGCCTCTCTTCCTGCCTCTTCTCCAGATCCGTAGCATCGTCGTACGCGGCTTGGAGAGTTTGCCAGGCTGCGTAGTCTTTGTCTGAACGGGTTTCCTCGTACCGCTTCTCCATTGCGTGGCGCAGTTTTGCTAGTTGCGCTATCTTGGACGCTTCGCCGCGGATCCAGGCTGAGCGGATGGGCTTCTGGGCGTCGAGACGGGCGCGGGCTTCTGGAGATTGCTCGTACTGGCCTGAGATGCTGGAGAGTGGGGGAGGTGGGATGGGTAGGTTTGAGCGGAGGGGTAGACGGGCGTGGAAGCTTGGTTCATGTGTGGAGTGAGGGGCTTCTGTAGAGGCTGGGGTGACGAAGCCGGATGTTGCGGGTGCGGAGGTGGGCCATGTTGCGGTGGATGGACCACGAATGGGTTGGCCGAACGACTGAGATGAGGGTGCGATGGGCCCAAAGGGAAGTGAGGGCTTGAAGGGCTTGCCAAAAGTGCCGTTCATGCGAGTCTCAGATGGTGACGGTGTGTGTAGAGGAGCTTCACACACAATGACATTAGACGGGCGATCGAAAGACTTAGTTCCACATGTCCGAGCATTAACAAACGGCGGGCGGTTGAACGACTGAGATCCGGTGTCGAAGCCACTGTTACTACCACGTAGGCGATCAACAGATACCATGCCCACGAACTCCGGAGATTTGGGATCCCAGCTAATCCCATTGTTACTCCCACACATCTGAATGCCAGCCAGGTTATGGAAAGGCGGCCGAGTACCTCCATACATGCTAGGGTGGACAGACGGCGGGCGAGTGCCAGCCGGTGGGAAAGGCCAACCAGGCGCACCAACTCCACACATGCGTGTCGTAGACCCCGTGCTGACTTGAAACGGCATATGATCGACGAAAGGATCAGTGTGCTTTCGCGCATGTCCAGAACCGTTACTGTACGGCGAACCACCCAAGGTCAAGTTTCCTTCTTCGTCTATCTCAGCGCTTCGAGGGTATACGTCGAACATGGGCGAGTCGATCGAGCCGCTGGATGCGTAGCGCTGCACTGTAGGTGAATGTGGAGACGGGGTGTTTTGCCAGACGTTCTTCGTATCCTTGTTGCTTGAGTTGTGCTTTCCGTACTTCATCTGATCGCTCGTGTGGAGACGGCCGTTCGGGACCGGTGAGAGCGATACGTTTTCAACGTCTCCCGCGTGGAGCTGCTCTCGCATACGACCAGGACCGAGGGGCGACGGTATACCCGGTGAGCTTGACGCTCTAGCATCGAGTCTTCGTTGATGCAGGTTCGGTCCGCGCGGTACGATCATCTCCTCGAAAGGCATGTTCCGTGGGATGGGGAATGTTGACTGCGGACGCGAGGGAACATGAGTCTTGGCTATGTTGGGGTTCGAGTAGAAGCTGTCGGATTTTCGTGAGATCTCTTTCTGAAGCTGCGCGGAAGACCACCTCATGCCGTGGCTGGCGGGAGTCTGGACTGGACCGCCGAACTCAGGTCGAAAAGGTGACTCGACCGCGACGCCGGCGAAGGACTGGCGCTGAGATAACGGTGAGATATCAGAACCCGAAGACGCGGAGCCATTCGTAGCACCCGTCTCTGACCTAGGAATCGCGACATTGAGCGCCGGACCAGGGGCATACATCTCGCCAACCTGACTGAAGCGGCAGCCGTCGTCCATCTTGACAGTAGTGTCGCTAGAAGGAGACTGGAAAGTGTCGTCACCTCCGCCACCGCTCACATTACCTTCAGACCAGGCTGGACTCCCTTGAACGTCGCAGCCCCGAACAGGTGCGCTGTAGTTACAAAAGTCGTGATAGCCAGGTAAGTTCATCGACTGATTGAGTGCGCGCTGTGAGCTCTCCAACGCGCGATCCCATCTCTGCGCCTCAAGCTTGTTGAACGACAACTGTGTCTCGTCGATGTAGTCGTTTGAGCTGGAGCGCTCGGGTGGTGGTTGGCGACTCTCCATGGCTGTTGCGGTGGCCGTGGTGAGCCTGTGTGTGGGGGAGAGATTGGTAGGCGCGAAAGTGAGAGGAACTCAAGGTAAGAATATTCGCGGGGTCATAGCTCAAAGTGAGAGTCGGCCAAATGCGAGTGCGGTGGCGGAGAACTGTGAGCTGGGCGGAGTGGTGAATGTGGATTGGGCTAGTCACGGGGAGTGGTGAATTTGGAAGGCAGTTTCGCGTAAGAGACAGAGCATTTGCGCACAACGTGCTTCGCGAGATACGTCACCGTCAAGCGAAGTTTGCACACATTCGGCTGCTCAGCTTTTGGAATAATGATACTCATTGTTGAACAGAACCTAGTCAAATAGATGCAATATGCAACTCGGAAGTCGTGAGTGGCCCGTCTACTCGGCATCGCTGCAGTACCATGGGAGGAAGTAGATGCATTGGTCTTATCGATTATGGAGTCCACAAATTGCCATTTTTGTCTCCAACAACATGTTCAGTTCGATAATGTGCCCTGGCTGCCACTATAGTACCGCAATTCGTATTGTATCGAGCCTGGTCATCAGATCGACCTCACAATACCGGATGAAACGGCGGCTTAACAACCCCATCTTTCACCACCGGCCTCGCAGTCATACCCAGAACCTTCCTCAACCTTTGCGACATGCTCGCCTTCTTCTCCCCTTTCGCCTCCACCCCACTTCCGTCTTTCACCTTCACCATCCCCTTCCCCTTCCCCTTCATCTTGAACTTCTTCTCCGACGCCCCTTTCCCATCCGAAACATTGCGAACCGGCAAGCGAACGATAGGCTTACGCTGCTCCATCTCCTCTTGCTTCTCAGCTTCAGCTCTACGCTCTTCCTCCATGATATTCCACTCCTCCTCCAGAAACCCCATCGTGTCTTTCTTCATCCGTTCCTCTTGCTTGGGCGCAAGGCTAGTTAGATTGAACATGGCGAGGTATTCGTCGCGGATTGTTGGCCACATAGCCTCCAGGAATGCTTCTTTTGCCTCTTCTCGCTGCGTGTTCTTGTTGTCCGACTGCTTAGCTTCCTCAGTGTCGGGAATGACGAGATAAGTGTCTTCGACCTGACCGGCTCGTCGTGTCGGGTTTTGTCTTCTCTGTCTTCGAGAGGGGCCATAGTGGACTGCGGGATTTCGCGTTTCTTCAAACCAGTACGGCTGCACGTTTCCAGTCACACTTCGTGCGAGGTTGTATTCTGGGTCGCTGGCGACGCAGTTGAAGCCTCTGAGGTAGATGGTTGGGGCTGGTTGTGATGGTGACCGGGGAGCGGGAACATTGACTCGGCGTGAGGGTGCGAACGGTGGGGGATCGGAGGAGGAGTCTTGGATCATGCTCGGGAGTTCTGGGACCATGCTTGGTATCTCCGCCATTTCGACGCTGGTGAGTAGTATTGTCAGGTAAAGGTGTCTTGTTAGAGCTGGATCCCTTTTATCCCTTGAACGTAGAAGATGAAACAAGTAAATGAGATGAAGTGCAAGAAAGATAGGGAGAGAAAGGGTCCGAATTATCATGTGCCAATGCTTCGGTTACCCTGAGCCAAACCATGGTTCGGATACATCATACTAATACCACGCTTTTTTGTTTTGTTGGGACTGGAGGGTACCTGCGTACTATGGATCCAGGGACGTCGCGGCTAGTCGTTGGATGTGTGTTCGTAAGCACAGGGTCTTGGCTGGCTGAACCATAAATGGAAGAGTTTTGATAGTGTAACGACACGTGAACAGAAACAGTCTGCAGCCATTAATGCGCATGTGAGTAACGAGTTTCGAGTATACTGGCGCGAGAAGCCTACGTAATATTTCCCTATCTCACCCAGGTATCGCATGATTGTGTCAGTGATCTATGTCTGAAGGAATCATCGCGATTTACGTCGAGAGAAATCGCGATGATTCCTTCCGACATAGATCACTGCCACAATCTCTCGTACCAGGACCCTCGCGCACTCTTTTCGGATCTACGCCAACTTCCCTGGTACAAAAGGAAGTCCCCCACTCAACCCACCATCCACAGCCCAAGCCTGCGCATTAACATAGCTAGCCTCATCACTAGCCAGGAACAGCACCGCCCTCGCAATCTCATCTGGCTGCCCTCCCCTCTGCAGTGGGTTCAACTGACCAATCTTCTTCTCGCTACCCCTCTTCCTCGCCGCGTCGTACGTGACCCTGGTCATACCAGTTTCGATCAGCCCAGGGCAGACGGCGTTGCATCTGATGCCGGAGCCGGCGAGTTGGTATGCGCACGTCTGCATCAGACTGATGACTGCGGCTTTGGACGCGGAGTAGTCTGTAGGACCCGCGTTGGAGCGGAGACCTGCTACACTTGCTGTGGCGATGATGCTGCCCTTTGGGTATGGTTTCTCATCCGAGGTCTTGAGCATAGCGCGCGATGCGTGTTTTGCGGCGAGGAAGACGGATAGGGCGTTGGTGCGTAGGACGTTCATGAAGCCTTCTGTTGACTCCTCCCAGAATACTTTGCCAGATGATATTCCTGCGTTGGCGAAGAAGACATCGAGACGGCCGTATGTGTCCAGAGCTTCTTGGCAGACCTTTTGTACGGATGCCTCGTCTGCGGCATCGAACTGCCGGATGTGGACTTCGGTGGAGGGGTATAGGGTGTTGAGTTGGCGCTTGTGTGTCTCGAGGTGGTTGTTGGCAAAGTCGCAGACGTAGATTGCGCGGGCGCCGTTGCGCGCGAATTGATGCGCGCTTGCACGGCCGATGCCTATTTCCGAGTTCGCACCTAACAATGCTGTTAGACATGCCCTTTACGTAGCACAGCCGAGAAAGATTGAGCATACCAGTAACGATGATGACCTTGTCTTTGACGCGTCTACATACGATTAGCACAAGCGCGTTCAATTACAGCTTCACGGACCCTCTCCATACTCACTGATTGCCCAGGTCCCCCGCGATCTCTCTGACCCCCTTCAATCCTTCAAAAGTTTCCGGCTCGGGTAGAGGTTCGGCGAGCTCCTTGCTCACTCCCTGCCGCTGGACCTTCGCGACTGCGGTTGGCATCGTGAAAGCTTCCTTTAAAGTCTTAAAAGTATTTTTGATGCCTACTGTAGCGTGTTGATAGAGCTTTCACAGTTGCGAGTGTTATGTATTGGTCAAATGGGTAGTAGAGCTTGCGGAGTTGGATGCGGAGGTTGCAGAATCCGGGGAAGATGCCGAGGCAATTCCCATTGGAGCTACACGACGTCATTGGCACTACGCCCGCATGATGGAGCCAAATGATTAGGGCAACGCTTTTGAAACTGGAAATCTTTGAGAGATGCATACCAGATTCATTGTATATTGAGTCATTCTTAGCATGACGAAGTAGATGATAACTGTGGACCTGCATGCAATGTTGATTCCCTCTACTTTACGCACACAGTCCAAACCAAACACCACAAATCTCCTCACTCGCCATTGTCCTCCGCACCACCCCCATTTTCTTCCGCAGCCGCCTTCGCAGCCTGCGCCATCTTCCACCTCTGCGCATTCGCCATGAGCTTCGCCAACTTCGCGGCACTCTCGTCGTCGGCCGGGAACACGTAATCGACGTATTCCTCGAAGCTGTCATCGTCCAACTTTCTCCTCTTCTTGACCTTGCGGGGCATCTGTTTCTCGATCTTGTCCTTGTCCTCTGTTGTTCCGTGAACATCTTCGAATGCCTTCCAGGCGCTGAGGAGCGCAACGCGGTCTTCCTTGAGGTCCTTCTCCTTGAGTCTGGTGTGCGCGCGGGTGAAGACCTCGCGAGCGCGGGATTTGGCGAGCTCGCTGATTGTTTCGTCGTCTTCGGGGGTGGTCTCGTCGGGTACGCCGAGTTCAAATTGCGCGTAGGACAACCAGACTTTGACGTGGTCGGTCTTTTCGAGGAGGCGCTCGTATAGTGCACGTGTGCGGCCGTATTCGCCTTCTTCTTCTTCGAAATCGATGTATGCTTTCCATAGAACTTCCGGCATGTCCATTTCTTGCGTGTCGACGGCGATTTCGAAGATGCTCCGCGCACGGTCGAGATCATCGAGACCACGCTCCAGGTTGGCGAAGTTGATCCATGTGTGGCAGTTTGAGCCGTTCCACTCGATGTACTTGGTGTAAAGCTGCCGACAGCGGTTGAACTCGAAGAGCTTCATCTCCAGTTCGATGTAGCCCTTGAAGAGCTTGTCCTTTGGACACATGCCCAAACTTTGACCCAGCAGCTTGCGTGCAGCGGTGAGCTCTCCTTGTCGCACGAGGAAATGAGCAAAAGCCAGCCATACTTTGGCGAACGTGAAGCGCTTGTGTGGCAGCAAACGTATGCACTCTTGGTAGATTTGACGGGTTCGCTCAATGTCGTGCGAAACTGTCTCCTCCCAGACTGCGTAGAACAGCCAAAGATATATATACCGCCTCCAGTGGCGCTTCTCCTGTGTGGGTGGTATCTGGGCGATTGCTCGCTCGTATATGTCGCGGACTCGGTCGGGGTTGCCAGACGTCTCTTCCAGTCGGGCAAAATCGATCCAGCTGTCGTAGTTCTTGGGGTTCTCTTTGATTTGCTCCTCGTAGTGTACACGTCGTTTCGACAGAATTACGTCTTCAATACCGTCTCGGTCTCCGTACTGCTTCTCGAAGGTTGTGAAGGCTTTGTGAAGGTTGACCGATTTCGATCGTGGCATGCGGTCAAGGGCGAATTTGTAGATGGCTCGGGCACGTTCCAGTTCCTTCAATCGGGCCTCGAACTTCGCGTATGCCATGAACAGCTTCTCATCCATGAAGTCGTCTCCCAATGTTGTAACGGCGGTACCGTAGACATCGCGCACGAGGTCGCTGGTGCCGTTCTCCTCCTCAAACTTGGCCCATTTGATCCAGTTCTTGGGTTCCGGATGAACGACGGTGAAGCGCTCAAAGATTGCCCGGCATCTTTCAAATTCGCCGTGCCTCTTCTCCAACTTGATGTATGAGCTCCAAGCCGCCTCTTCCGGCTCCCACTGCATCCAGCGTTCGAAGACGGAGCGGGCACCGTCGATGTTGCCGAGCGTCTCCTCCATGTAGACATACTTGTACCATAGCTTGTCAACTCGCGGAAGAATGGTCACGGCGCGGTCGAGAAGGTTACGGGCGTGCTGGACATTGCGATGCTTCATCTCACTCTCAATGTATCGCAGCCATAACGGGACGGACGTTGAGTCGACATCGAGAGCTCGTTCGAAGATGGAGCGGGCACGTCGAAATTCCTTCTGCTCCAGCTCCCAGGAAGCATAGCGCATCCAGTTATTCATGTTGATGCGGTTCCGCCGCACATAGTCCTCAAACTCCTTCCTCTTCCTCCCCTGGAACTCATGCAGCTCCTCGATGTCGGCGAAGCGCTGCGTTGGTGCCTTGAGCTTCTCATCTTGACGGTCGACGGCTTCCCTCAGCAATTGTTCGGCAGAGATCTGGACAGCCGCCGCGGCCTTGTTCTTGACCCGCGGGGGTCCTCGTGAGGCCTCCATGTTGGCGTTCGAATATGATGATCGAGGGCGTTATATGGGATGTAAGGGTATGCGCACGATGGTGAGAGAGGGCGAGGCGCACGTCGGTCGTGAAGGCTGTCGCGCCTAGGTCGTGTCGGAGTAACAGAGCTCCAAAGGTTGGTCCGGATCGCTCAAACCGCCGAACACGTGATCGCGGATGCCTGCGCAGTACGACTACGGTACAATAGCTTGGCGACAGCAATTGTCGTATGTCGGTCGTCGTTCTGCGATGCGACAAGATTATTCTGTAACGTGAGAACGCGACTGCCTTAGCGCAACTTTTATCCGCTGCACGCCAAGCAATTAGCACTTTCACGTCACTGCCGGCGCAACTTCTCTCTCCCCACAACACTCACCCGCGCGCATTCACAACTCGACCGGCGGCCATCCCAGGCAACAGGTACGTAGTATACCAACGATATCGAACTCAGCACTCAACCGATATCTACTAGGAGGGTAACCTCTGGCCGCCGTCGCGACTTCCTCGACACCCCCAACTGCTATTGCCTGGCAGCGACGCTCACCCGCACACATCCCGAATACCCCCAGCCTACACCCTGCCATGGCGACTCTCGAGCAAGAGCTCCTGGCGGACTTCGCAGACAGTGGTGATGAGGATGTCCAGGATCTGGAGAATGACTTCGCCGAGGGTTCTGGCGACGACGATGAGATGGTCGACGAGGAGGCGCAATATCGCGAGAAGCAGCAGGACAAAGACAAGGAAAACAAGGGGCCAGCCGACATCCGATCCGCGCAGCAGCTCAAGACGAACCTGGACCCCGTCCTCAAGCGCATCGAAGAGGCGAAGGACCAGATGGACATAGTTGAGGGCGAATCGTTTGAGGAATCTCCCGAGTACCAACTCCTCACAGAAGCCAACGAGTTCTCCACACAGATCGATGGCGAGACTGCTAGCGTCCACAAGTTCATCCGCGACCACTATTCGGCCTTCTTCCCCCATTTGGAGGATCTGATCAAGAACCCTGTCGTCTACGCCAAAGCATGTTTGGTCATCGGCGGCGGACCTTTGTCAAGCATCAAAGATATCAGCCCCAAGCTGAGGCAAATCGAAGGAATGGAACCTGCCCAGGTCATGATTGTCGAGATTGAAGCCACGCGCGTCGAAGGAAGACTTCTTGAACAATCCGAGCTGGACCTAGTGTCAAACGCATGCCATCTGCTGCTCGAGCTACACGCGGCCAAGTCCAAGATTCTGGGTTTCGTCGAATCCCGAACTGAGCTGTTCGCGCCTAACCTCACCGCGCTTATTGGAAGTTTGACGGCCGCCCATCTTATCTCATACTCGGGCGGTATCGCGAACCTAGCCAAGACTCCCGCTTGCAACATCGCTCCCCTAGGTTCGACCAAAGTCTCTGGTGCTACCGTCGGACTTTCGAACATGGGTCTGAGGCACGAGGGTTACCTGTACCACAGCGACATCATCCAGAACCAAAGACCGGATCTGAGGAAGCAGGCGCTACGTATTGTGGCGGCTAAGGTCATTCTCGCCGCGCGTGTGGACGCCCATTCCAACTCCGGCACTGCCGACATAGGTATGGACCTGAGGAAAGAGTGTGAGCGTCGGTTGGACAAGTTGGTGGAGATGCCAGCGAACCAAAAGGCCGGAGGAAGGGCCCTTCCCGTACCCGATGAGAAGCCGTCCCGCAAGAGAGGTGGAAGGCGAGCCCGCAAGGCCAAGGAAGCAACAGCAATGACCGAGATCCGCAAGGCCCAAAACCGGATGACTTTCGGCAAAGAAGAGAAGGAAGTCGGATATGGCGACTCCGTAGCAGGCATGGGCATGATCGGAGCCACAGACACCGGACGACTCCGCGCGCAACAAATCGACCCCAAGACCCGCGCCAAACTCAGCAAGAAGAACCCCGGCTGGGGCACTGACACCACTCTCGGTGCAGCTTCGTCTCTCAAAGGCTTTGGCGGAAGCGGTACGGCGACCAGTCTACGTGCACAGGGCCTACGAACCGGTGGTGTGGGTCTTGGCGGTGCGGGAACGAACTCTATTGCGTTCACACCTGTCCAAGGTCTCGAATTGGTTGATCCCAAGGCGCGTGAGGAAGCCAACCGTAAAAGGAAGGCAGACGAGGATAGGTGGTTCAAGGGTGGTTCATTCACGCAGCTCAACGGTAGCTCGAAGGTAGATGCGGGTGGTTTCAAGGTTCCCGCTCTACCGAACAAGAAGCCCAAGACGGATACTTAGTTGGCCGTCTTGGTTGTTATGGTTGTGGGGGTAATATGGTACCTGGTCAGCATATATGGCGTTTTCGTGGCATTGCAGTGAGTGCGAGTGCATTGGGCGGCGTTTCATTGTGGGATTACTCTCGATACCTATACGTTGGGACGTTGCAGGGATAGTCAGATAGTTGGAAATTCAATATGATTATGCTCATCAGACTGTGTCTGTCATGATAAAATGCGACGCTGAAAATATTTTAGTGGACTACACCAACGCTCCTCCGCAAGTTACACAAGTTTAGAAGGTATCCTGGCGGTTACATATTAATCCACGCTCAACCTCTAACAAGACGGACTACGCCGTATACTCCCAAGTACCTTGCCATCCGTCCCCGTTCTCCATGCCCACCCATTGTATTCACATTTCATGCCACCCTGCTCCACTTCCTCTATCCCCTCCATATCCTTCATATCCTCCACCTCCACATCCTTCACCCACCCAGCAGCCTCCCTCAGCTGGCTCAACCAATCCTTTCCAGTCCCGATCACCTCAGCCTGCTTACCCGCCTCAAACGAATGATCAGCGATATGCTCATCAATCTCCCCAGCATCCGCAGACAAGATAGTGACCTTGCAGGTCTCGCAGTAGAAGTCCTCTTCCGAAAGGAATTCAGCACAGGCAGGTGCGGAAGGAGACGAGGAAGCGAGGGAAGCGGGGGAGGTGGGCGAAGATATGAGGGAAGGGGGCGAGGCGAGATCGGCAACCGGTGTCCCGTCGTGCGGGAAAGTCATTCCCTCATTGGATACGTCCTCCTCCTCCGGCGAGGGTGAAGATGATGGCGACGGCGACGGCGACGCAGAATCCTCATCCGTGGCATCGTCGTAGATAATGCTCTCCCCATCAGTGGCAGAATCGTAGTCTGCCATGCTTTCCTCCTCCTCCTCCTCCTCCTCCTCCTCATCGTCATCGGACGTCATATCCTCATCCTCCGGAGAACTTTTAATGACATTAAACACGTGGCCTGCCGAAGTCAAATGCCGCGCCCAGTTCGCACCAGCAAACGTGACCTCGCAGTCATCGCAATAGTGACCATATTCGTATCCTTCTTCGCCGAAGCCGTCATCTTCATACTCCTCCTCTTTCTCAACTTCCTCTTCCACAGACAGCACCACAGACTCCGGTGTCGGTGCGTGAAGATAGATATCCTCCTCCTCCTCTTTCGCCTTGGCCATATTAGCCAAATGCTTCTGACACTTCGCGTGCCGAATCCAATGACTATAGGTGCTAGTCCTATAATCGCAACACTCGCAAAACTTCTCCAGTCCGCGCGCATACTGCTGGCTGGTTTTCTTGCCCTGTACCGGAGGGGCTCGCTTATCCCTCGCAACATTGTCCAGATGCATACGGCCTCTTATATGGCAGCCCCAGCTGGACATCAAATATGTGCGGTCGCAGTCGCTGCAGTAGCGCTGCGGTCTCTTGTCGACTGCCTTCTTGACCATGTTCGTGTTTGGCCCCTTACGTGGTCGGCTCCTCGCTACCTGATTTAGGTGCGGTTGGCCTTGGAAATGCCGTGTCCAGCTGGAGACATAGCGTGTTGTGAAGTCGCAGGCTTCACAAGTATACCCTTGTAGTCGTCCGGGTACCTGTACAGGCTCAGACATAGGGCTGTCGACACCGTCGTATTCGGTAACCTCCTGGTTGGCCTCGCTGGACACCGGGCTGAACTCAGTGTTTCGCGGCGACATGGGCGCTGAGCTGAGTGGACTGCTACGCGCAGGACTATTGTAGTCCTCCAGCTCCTTCAACATCTTGGCGGGGGGTTCCGCAACACTCGATGTAGTCCTCCAAGTCTCGAACTCCAGTACCCCCTCCGTCTTCCCAAGATGCGTCTCAATCCTCCTCATCCCCCTCCCCACCCTCCTCTTCGCACGCCGCTGAATCGTATTAACCCTGCGCATCTCACTCTTCAACCGTCTTACACTCCTGATCGGAGCGTCGTCATCGTCGGAGGAACTGACTTCTGAATCGCGTTCGGGGCCTAGATCGAAGGTCCTGTTGCCTAGGCGGAAGATGCCTTGTTTCTTGATGGGGGTGGGGGCGATGGGAATTGGGGTTGGTATTGGGGTGGGGGCTGGCTTGGGGAGGAGTGCGTCGAGGAGGGCGGACTGTGCCGAATGGCGGTCTGTTATTTTCCACTCTTTTTGTAGGACGCTTGTGAGCATACCAGAGAGCAAGGTGTATGCGGCCTCTTTTTGTTGGTCTAGTGTTGTGGACATTTTGACGGTTGGTATGTGTGGGAGTTAGACGGGCTGAAAAAGTTGGGGTGGAGTGCCGGTTGGACAAAGTGGTAGGCAGTGTGGACTAGATGAACACTTGGAGACGGATGGGAAAGTAGAAGATAGAGGGTGTGTCCCCTTATTTTGTACAATTCTGCTGTGGTGCGTCCCACGGTACCGAAATGGCAGCCTGAAGGTGGAGGCCACGACAACCAAAGTACCACGAAAAAAGGGCGAATCAAGAAATTCATATGGGAGAGGTACGTGCCAGTCAGAACTTGCGAGATGCCTACGAGTCGAAGTAGACACAGTAGTTTATGTTCGCCTACCTTGGTTCCCAACTCTTGCGATGATAGCATCAGCCCTTTCTGTACGCTAAGCGTGCCTTCCAGCGCCCTCGCATGCATGCAGACCCTTCTTCCCATGACTGTTAGGGTGAACCACAAACCATGGTATCTCATTGCATGTTCAAACTGTGGTTGCACACCATATCGTCGCCGCATGGCATTTTCCGAGACTTACCGTTTGACTCTCTACCACTGACAAAATTTGATGCCTGATTCTTGTACACGTGTTGTGCTGGCAGGCCGCAATGATATTGATGAACCGCGGAAGTATCGAAAATTTCCAGCGTGCTTGAGCTACGGAAATTGTCGGTGTTCGAGACAACTCAGGTTGACACAACTTGAAGTTGGTGTCGAGGTGGTCAGGTGTGCGCGACCATGATTATGGAATGAACGAGCAACGCGCCGATTCCTACACAGTGGATATCGCTTGGCCGATGTCTGTGCTGCTGACTATCCCTACTCATGATTCTGGGATACTCCAGGGTAAAGCCGAGCTGGTTCGCGACAGCAATAATTAGTGTGAACTCAATGGCGTGAACTTATTCAGGGTCTGCAGCTTTGGGTAAGAAGTGGCCACCGCACGACTCAGCCATTGTTGTGAGATCAGGCATAACAATCGAAAATGTTATTGTGCAAAATCCTACTGAGCAAGGAAAAGGCCATCCCTTGCAAAGCCCGATGCATCTCGTATTGCAGCGATGATCAAGACACCTGTCGCTTCAGGCGGTCTGTAGGCGAGAGCGGGGCGGAAGGATGATGCGCAAAGCTCGCTCGGTTGGCGTTCAACTTTGTTCGAGAAGCGTTCGATGCTTTCGTGTGCGGGGGTATCCCTGACCTGGCTTTTTCTGTGCACTGCGATAGACGAGATCTTACCATGTCTCAGCGGGCGCCCGCGAAAGACACTCTGCGAACGAACGACAATTAGCAGTGTTCCACAGGCTTCTCTGGCGCTGTGTTCTTGGTCGCACCGAGTGCAGACTTCCCTGCGCGCGCACTGGTAGCGGCCTGTTAGATGCACCTTGTCAGCCCTAGGACCAGGGTCTTTGCTTGTGCAACATTGGACAAGGGATTCGCAATGCAGTATCGCCTGTCGCATCGCCTGTCGCATCGCAAAGTCCAACCAGCTTGTTTGGCGCGAAGGTTGTTCGGCGACAATGGTGAGGTGTCCAGTAGATATCTCGACACGTGTTGGCGGCCTCCTAGTGCTACCCAGACGGAAGGACAAGTCTTGCCGGTGATGCACCTCCTACAGGTTGGTCACACTCAGCTCTAGCAGGCAATGGCTTAACCCGATATGCGTTTATTTACCCGCAGATAACCCATGGAGGATTCCGCCAGATGTCTTCAGATACGGCGTTGTGGCTGGCAATGGAAGCCGCCCTTGCGATATGCCCATTGCGGGTAAATAGGCAGGGAGATTGAATTGGACAGGCGGAAGTTGATGTCAGCGCGCGCTTTAGATAGGACGAGGCGCGCCGCTGGCCACCCTGGAAGGGAAACCGGCCCGTAAGACGCAGTCTGGAGATCGAATGCTCGTGTGCTTGATCGTTGGACAGCGCACCATTGCACGATTGTCACATCGGGAGCTACATACGTCACCCGCAGTGGGAGCAAAGGATTGCGCAGTGAAATGGGCAGTGAAATAAGGGCAGGCTAAGAATACGCGGCATCAGATGTGCAAGCAGGCACAGAATGGTTCGTCGTGACGATGCAGGAGCAAGCCACCGATAGCTAAGCGAGCAGTGAGGGTGCAGAGGGTGCAGAGGGTGCAAGAGATGCCGCTCGCGCCGGCTGGACCGGGACCCAGGTACTGCGCAATCAGCCTTAATCAAATTCTGCCAGTCCGTCGGATGAGGGTTGAGCAACGCAAACGGTGCAGTGTGGGTGGTATGGGCGGCTGCATGGTGTGTCTAAGCGGGTCAGAATGTCGCTGCACGCCGCACGAGGCTCGGCTCAGTAAGGTACTTGGGTAATGGGCAATAGAGAGGTGCAGCAGCGGACGGGACGACGCTGATTGCAGGAAGAACAGTGTGGCGGGCCCCAGTGCGCAGCGCAGAGCGGCACGTGATTGGCCCGATGCAGGCTAGCGGCCCTGGCATGCTGAAGTTCTTTTTGCGCTGGGGAGCGGTCTGCGCCTTTAGCCTTTTGCTGAAGAAATGCCCGATTGCTCTGGCTGCATCGGCCTGCCGCCCTCTCGTCGCTAGAATTGCTCCTCTGCCGCCGCGCTCCTCGGCCAGCTCATCGTCGCGCGTCGCTAGCCCGTCGGACAGCAGTACCCTGTTCGCTACCTTCCGCTCAAGCGAGACTCGCTTGTAGGCAGCTTGTAAGTAAAGTCGGTTGATTCCTTCATGGCACTGCCACATGCGCCCTCATTACCTGCTAAAGGCGGCTAGCCAGCTGCAGCCCACCCTCCACTGAGCCCACTCGCTGCCTCCTAGACGGACGAGATGAGTGAGGGATATCGCGCGCGATGCATTTCTGGGAGCGGCAGCTGGCATGCCAGGTCTTCATCTTCCTCATCCTTCCTCATCTATCATAATTTGGCCCTTTTCATTCCCTGGACTTTGTTAGCCATTGTCCAGTCGTTCACGTATTTGTTATCCCAATCTATGTAGTGCACGCACAACTACGTGCAGCGCGGCGGCGTCGAACCGAGCGAGGCCAGGCCCCTGTTCCGCGGGTCATAACGCCTTCGCCAACTCAGCTAATCCCAGTTCCTTGCCAGGCTTGCCGTCCCTCTTCCCATCCGCCTCAAGCTTTCTAGCGCCGCCGTGCTCTTCAAGACATCCCCAAGAACTGAAGAGCGCCCCGGTGGCAGACTCCATTGCTAGCCCATGTCGCACGACTTTTCCACCCACATCTCCCAGGCGCCCTACTCGCCGGCCCCTTCGCACTTTTCCCACCAGAGCATGGCCGATCCTAACATGCAGTCGCGCCAGCAGCAGGCCGTCGCCTATCCCTCACCGCACTCGTACCCGTCGCCCTCGATGCAGCCCACGTATACCTACCCGCCGCCCCAAGGCCAGCAGAGCAACGATGGCTACCGCAGCTCTCCCCAGGGCTCCAACATGTCGCTGCCGCCCCTCAATCTGCCGCCAATACGTCTGCAGGACGGCCAGCAGCCCCAGGCGCAACCTCAGCAGCCGCCCCAGCCCATGGGCTCTCCGCTCCCACCGCCGCAGCACGGTATGCCGCAGTACTATCCGCACCCAGCGCATGCGCAGCAAGGCCCGCCCATGATGGGCAACATGGGCCCGCAATTCAATGCCATGCGATACCAGCTGCCGCCGCAGGGCGACCAGCGAGTGCTGTCTGGTGGTCGCCATAAGAAGGAGATCAAGCGTCGCACCAAGACTGGCTGTCTGACATGTCGCAAACGGAGAATAAAGGTGAGTGCATACGTCAATGGAACGCGGTGCAGACGCGACGCGATGTCAGAGGAGCTATTGCTTGTCGCTTGCTTAACCGAGCGAGGAACCCAAACTCCTCTAATCCAACCTCTCGCGTGTCAGAAGCGACCGGCTTTGCAGCAACACTGCTATTCAGTGGGCTGCAGCACTTTGCCTCGCAACATCGCCGTTGCGGGCTGCAAATACAGCTGCGCCGATTTCTGGCAAATTTTCTGCATCGCGCACCAACATCACTACTCACCTGCTCATGCGCTAACCACCACCCCGACAGTGCGACGAAGCCCACCCCATGTGCCGGAACTGCCAGAAGAGCAAACGAGAGTGCTTGGGTTACGACCCGATTTTCAAGCAGCAATCCGGTCCCGCCCAAATACAACCTGCTCCCAACTCCGCGCCCGCACCCCACGCGACAAGCGCACCGGCGCCCGCACCTTCCTCCTCCAATTACAGTCAAAGTCCGGTACCCCAAGGGTACGCGCCTGCCTCGTCCGCGGGGTACGCGACTGCCGCTCCTGCTACGAGCGGCGAACACCAGCAAGGCAACTTCCACGCCATAGACCCGGCACTTGCGCAAGCCGATCCCAATTTACAGCCACCCCAACATTACAACGGTGTGCACCCCATGGATCCCAACATGAGAGGGCCTCCAGGCGCCAACTACCACCCGCCTCCGCCAGAGCCCATGAAAGGTTGGTATCCTGCTCCATATCGCCATCACAGTCCTAACGCAGATTCAGGCAAGCGGTTGGGTATCCAAGACATCTTTGGCATCTGCAACCACAGCCCGCCCGAGGTTCCTCAGCGGACCTCGCCAGTACCCCGGGAAATCGACGACGAGTTCAGCCGCATCTTCATCAACGACTACTGCCAAGGGCTCGACCTCGTACTTGAGACCAACTGGTTCTCGACGAACAACAATGCTCTCAACAGAGTCTTCAGCGACCGCTCCCTGCATGAAGAGGCCGCTTTCTTCACCGAGACCATCAAGTACAAGGCTACCGCCGATACCGACATGACCGGCGTCTTTAGTCAAGAGGCTCGCTTGTTATGGCACTTGCTGAGTACGTGCAAGCAGAATCTTCCAAGCACCAACGGAGCACAGCCAGAAGGCGAAGACTTTGCGATGAGAGAAACCCGTGCGCGCCTCGACGTGCTGGAAGCTCTTATGACGAATCAAAACCTGGACTCAAACCCCACACGTCAATTGGCATATCCCCCTACGCTTGATGATGTCAAGAGGTCGCAAGTCGACTTCTGGCAACATCTCGGAGACTTTGTCCAATTCTCGGGCTCAGACACTGCCCCGCCTGGAGCAGCCGACGGCGCCCTCTCAGTACTACGTGGCGTGCTGTGCATGCACGAGGTGCGCGATGCCATCTACTCGATTGCGATCGCTCGTCATTACGGTAGCCGCATTGGTGGTTTCCCCAACGCTCTGCCACCCCAGGTCGACCAAAGTCCAGACAGCGACTTGAATAAGCTTTGTGTCGCTATGTCGTTCATCAGTCATGAGAGCCGTGCATCCAGCCAGCAGGTTCTTGCGCGTATCTGCGACATGGCCATGTTCTCGTGGACCGCCTCGCGAATGCCTTCCAGTCACCAACAACAACAGGGTGGCTTCCCTCAATGACGACATGCTGGCATAGGAGCGACCTGAGAATCAAATAAAGTTGCCGTAGCCTTCGGGCCACATTAGTAAGAATTGGAAAGTCCGCGTTCATCTTTTGCATCATCTCAGCGGTGGCGTTGTATCCCCCTTTTGCCATTTGCTGGCATTTGCGTTCGTTTATGAATTATATTCCCAGGGGCCAGAACAAACCTTTCTCATCCCCCCAAATGCACGTTTTCATGATTCTCCCTTCCTCGCAGTTGCATCTACCGCGTACGGAGCTGGTGGCACCTAAGCATGTATCTTCTCTTTCCTTTGCGGCAGGCATTCACACAAGATATACCCTCGATCGTATCCTGTTCTTTCTCTTCAACTTTGGCAGACCTAGTATACAGAGGTCTGGCTTTAATCTATCTTCGTCCTCTGGACTCAACCTTTCATGGAATATGTGAAGACGGTTGCATTGCGGTATTTGGAGCTATATTTTTCACGTGAGGAGACTACAATGGCATCATCTCTCAAATATACGGAAATCGAGTGATTATTGTAGCCTCTTGGGTCTGATTGGACTTCTGCAGTCATCACGTCTAAGAAACAACAACCGAACGCCCTGGAGTCTACTTTGACGTCAGGTCACCTACTTTGCGGTATTTTCACCTTGATGTATGCTGCCGACCTCTTTAGAGTTGTCCTTGTATGGGGTGCGGTGGGATGATCACGATCCTGAGGCCTCAGCTCCCTGGGTAACACTAAACCAGCGGTGAACCAGCCCTTCTTCCATGCTCAATCCCATTCGCCCGGACATGTAGCCTAGCCAAACAATACACACCAACCAATTCTGTGAAAAGAAAGGACTGAACACCTGCTAACTATTATAGACCCAGAAGTCTACATCGCCTCCATGTTGAACCAAACTTCCGTTCCCAAACCCCTCAGCCCCAGCTAGCTCTCTATCCTCCTTCCCTTTCGCACAACGCAGATGACGCAACGCGACAACGTCTCCGTACGACATTGCACGAAGCGGAGAAAGTGCCGGTGGCGGAAATTAGCTTGCCCCTTGTGATTGCCGGGAGGACACGAAGCGGTGGGCTGTTTTTTGGGAGGTGGTACGAGGGTGGTTGGGCTCTGGTACACGCTCATTTCCTGGTGTTGGGTTTGGTGTCATGAGGGATTTCGGGGAAAGGAGTGAGAGACTGGGCCAGTACTCGTTTACTCAAGATCCGAATTTGTACTGGAAGGAACACATGAGCAAGCCTTTTCCGAACAACACATCTCCTTCAACTAATTTTCCAACTACATAACTATCTCCCTTGCTTAACCCGAGTAAGACCCAGCCTGAGTATAACGCCGTCCCCTGTCCTCATCTCCGCTCCCTCCACTCCTTCTCCCTACTCATGCTGTGCGCCCATGCACCCCGGCTCCACCTACTCCATCAAGCTACTCACTACATCCCTCCAGTCCCTCCTCTCCCCAGAATATCTCACACAAACCCCCTTCTAAGCGAACCACTCGGAATGGCCGCCGTTTTCGTATCACAGCGACACAAGAGCTTACACAAAACCCCCTCTTCTCTTCGGAGAATATCCATAGTACCGGGTCATCCCAGCTGCGACAGATTTTGTACACCTGTCGGTGTTCTCGCTATCTATCTAGCCTGATGAGGCGTTGTGTAAGGAGGGTACGGGTGGATGGATGGGTGATGACGGGTAGGTTGGCGGGTGGGTAGTAGGCTTGCTGGGTCTAAAATAGGCATAGCTGCAAATATCTTCAGCACATACATCCACAGACTTTGCTGGCACTTCAATGGTGCAGGTGGAAGAGCGCTTGTGCCAAGTCTAGTATGGGTATGAAGCCCAAGTATGTGGCGCAGCGTGTACGACTGACTACTCAGCTCCTCTACCCACAACACTCTAATGCACATCCATCCTCTTAGTACCTAGCAATCACCCACTCAACCCCACACACCCACTCCCTCTCTACCACTGTTCCCCATCCCCCAAAACCCTATGCAAAAGCACCCTCGCAAATTTCCCCTCCCCAGGACTCCTCGTACACCACCCAACCCGATTCCCCCTCCTGCTATCCCTCCACCCCCCCGCATCCCCCACGACCTCCTCCTCCAAACTGCTCTCCCCCTCCGTAACCGGCCTCCCCCTCCGATCCACAATCGTGCAACCCCTAGTCCACTGCCCACTCGTCTCAACCCTCACATCCTCCTCTTTGAACTTCCATAAAGGGTTGGAGGGGCATAAAGCGTACCAGATCGTCAGCGGGTCGTGGAGTTGGAGTCCGGATTTCGTGGGGTCTTGTTGGGGGTTCAGGGATGAGTTTTTTGCGAACGTGGAGGTTAGGAATAGGCTGGTCCATTCGGAGAGGGGGGAGCCGTGGATGGGTTTTAGGGCGATGTAGTCTTCGTACATGGTTTTGGGCAGGACGTGTAGTTCTGTTGTGTCGAGCGGGAAGAGTTTGATGGTTAGGCGCTTGCTGAGCGTTTTTGGGTACGGTGGTAGTTGGTGCTTCTTCGACGGGTTTGAGAGTAAGGGGGGCATGGTGAGGTGCGGGTTCGCGGATGTGAGGGCGAAGACGCGCGCGCTGGCTACGGAGTCGGCGTAGGTGTTGAATTCGGCGCCGGGGGTCATCTGGTGAGGTGGTTTAGTGAGGGACGGAGGGGGGTATTGTGTTTTTTGGGT